ATCAATGTTATCCTTTTTTTCTTGAAGTGTTCTTAGCTTAATCTTACGTGCAAGATGTTGTATATAACTCTTTAGTTTCTCACCATTGTCTTCCAATTTAGCACAAGTAGCACCTCGAATGAGCTTCTGGAGTCTTTCAAGCTGGTCTCTCAAATTAGACAAATTTCTTTTGGAAAATAAATCACCACATTCCTCTTAGAATTGAATTTACAAACACTAATTATTTCAAACATAACATCATCCCTAGTCACTAATTTTAAGTCAAAAACAAAAGGGATAGTTTAAATCTATGAAAGTCTTGTTTTAGTTTTATGCTATAGCGTTATGATATATAGGGATTCGGATATAATCTCCTTTTATGTTTTCATGCATATCTCTACTTTTCATCAAATATATAACTATATAACTATATATATTTAAACTTTCATATAATTTTTTTTTTCTCAATATTTTATTTTTTTTTCTTAATTTTGGAGCCAACAATACAAGTCTAAGCACTAATGTCCCTCCCAACATCCAGAGCAAGAGATTGCATCTCAAGCTTTAAATAGTCCATCACCAAAGATGATGAAAATAAATCAAAAGTTTTGAGACAAAGATGATGAAAATAAATCAAAAGTTTTGAGAAAGATGATTAAGAAGTATAATACCAAATATCCACAAAAAAAATGTGGCATTACTAAAACAAGTTTGGTGCAGAGATTGTGCAAATGATGGGGATATTAATACATGTCTATTGCGATGGACTCACTAGCCACCTACAAGAATATTTAAAAAAGGACTCAAGGCATGAAAATTAGAGGTAGCAGATGATGAGCATGATTAAGAGAATTTTGCATATTTTGATGAAAAAGAAAAGGAGAAATTAACTGGTCTTCACCAAGTCCAAGAGTAATGTGGTGATTTATTTTCCAAAAGAAGTTTTTCTAATTTGAGATACCAGCTTGAAAGACTCCAAAAACTCATTCGAGGTGTTACTTGTGCTAAATTGGAAGACAACAGTGAGAAACTAAAGAGTTATATACAACATCTTACATGTGAGATTGAGCTGAGAACACTTCAAGAAAAAAGGAATAACATTGAGGCTAAAATCAAAGAGAGAGCTAAAAAAGCAGAGGAGAAAGCCGAAGCTTGTATGATGACCACATCCATGAGGCAGGTTTTACAAGTCATTTAAATTTGGAGAAAGGAAAACATGTATTTATGAGCACAACCAAAAGAAGGGATTGGTTCTACGATCTCGACCTTGGTTGATGCAAGCTTGCAAGTCCATAATTGCAATATTTTCATTGAGTATTACAAGTTTCTCATTTCCTTAATTTTTCCTTTTTGTTTGAGTCTTGCCGTTATCATATTGCTTTTTCTTCCTAAAAGCAAGAATTTATTGATTTCTCTTGTTTTACCAGTTTTATATGGGTTAATTGCATAAACGATATTATATCTTTATTTGAATTGAATTTATGATAGCTTATGAGTTCAACCAATTTGGACTTGTTATAGGCTTGAACTGAATTTACAAACACTAATTATCCCAAACATAACATCATCCCTATCCATTGACTTTAAGTCAAAGACAAAAGGGATAGTTTCAACTTATGAAAGTGTTATGGCTTATGCTTTAGTTTTGCGTTATTTAAGTTTAAGTAAGTACTGATGTCCTCCCAACATCCAAAGCAAGAAACTACATCTCAAACTTTAAATAGCCCATCACCAAAGATGATGAAAATAAATCAAAAGTTATGAAAAGGATGATTAAGAAGCATAATACCAAATATCCACAAAAAAATGTAGCCCCACTAAAAAGAGTTCATTGCAGAGATTGTGCAAATGATGGAGATATTGATACATGTCTATTGTGGTGGACTCACCAACCACCTACAATGATCTTTAAAAAGGGACTCAAGGCATGAAAATTAGAGGTAGCAGATAATGAGCATAATGAAGAGAATTTTGCATATATTGATGAAAAGGAGGAGAAGAAATTAAGTGGTCTTTGCCAAGCCCAAGAGGAATATGGTGATTTATCTTCCAAAAGAACTTTGTTTAATTTGAGAAACTAGCTTGAGAGACTCTAGAAGCTCATTTGAGATGTTGTTTGTACTAAATTGGAAGACAATAGTGAGAAATTAAAGAGTTATATACAACATTTTACATGTGAGATTAAGCTGAAAACACTTCAAGAAAAAAAGGATAACATTAAGGCTAAAACCCAAGAGAGAGCCAAAAAAGTAGAAGAGAAAGCTGAAGCCAAAGCCTTGTACCATAACCTTGATGACCACATCCATGAGGCAAGTCCTACAAGTTGTTTAAATTTGGAGAAAATAAAACATGTATTTGTGAACACAACCAAAAGAAAGGATTGGTTCTAGTATCTGGACCTTGGTTGATGCAACCTTGTAAGTCCTTAATTACAATATTTTTATTGAGTATTATAGGTTACTCATTTCCTTAATTTTTCGTTTTTGTTCAAGTCTTGCCATTGTCATGCTGCTTTTTCTTCCTAAAAGTAAGAACCTATTGGTTGCTCTTGTTTCACCAATTTTATATGGATCAATTACATAAACAATTTTATATCTCTATTTGAACTGAATTTATGATGGCTTATTAGCTCAATCAATTTGGGCTTGTTATGAGCTTAAACTGAATTTACAAACATTAATTATCCCAAACATAAAGATCATCCCTAAACACTGACTTGACAGTTTAAATCTATGAAAGTGTTATGGCTTATACTTTCGATTTGTGTTATTGTGCCATAATATATAGGGATTTGGATATAATATCCTTTTACTTTTCATGCATATCTCTAATTTTTATCAAATATACAACTATATACATTTAAACTTTCATAAAAAATTTTTGTTCTCACTATTCTATTTTTTTCTTAATTTTGTAGCCAACAATATAAGTCTAAGTAAGCACTGATGTTCCTCCCAACATCCAGAGCAAGAGACTGCATCTTAAGCTTTAAACAGCCCATCACCAAAGATGATGAAAATAAATCAAAAGCTTTGAAAAGGCTGATTAAGAAGTGTAATACCAAATATCCACCGAAATATGTGGCCCCACTAAAACAAGTTCATTGTAGAGATTGTGTAAATGATGGGGATATTGATGCATGCCTATTACAGTGTACTCACCACCACCTACAATGATATTTAAAAAGGGACTCAAGGCATGAAAATTAGAGGTAGCAAATGATGAGTATGATGAAGAGAATTTTGCATATTTTGATGAAGAGGAGGAGGAGAAATTAAGTGGTCTTCACCAAGACCAAGAGGAATATGGTGATTTATTTCCAAAAAAAGTTTGTCTAATTTGAAAGATTAGCTTGAGAGACTCCAAAAACTCATTCAAGGTGTTGCTTGTGCTAAATTGGAAGACAATTGCAAGAAACTAAAGAGTTAAATACATCTTACTTGTGAGATTGAGCTGAGAATACTTCAAGAAAAAAAAGGATAACATTGATGCTAAAGCCAAAGAAAGAGCCAAAAAAGCAAAAAAGCAAGTTGAAGCCGAAGCCTTATACCATAACCTTAATGACCACATCTATAGATTTTAGTTGAAGCCTTGTACTTCACTTATTGCTAATTGATTTTAGATTGAATGCAAGCATTGTATTGAGCTCATATGCATAATTTTCACATGATATCAAAGCTCATATTTCATCCTAAAACGCCTGTTATTATCCTACCTAACAAGACCTAAAGTTAATATTGAGCTTGCATGTAAGAACTTGCATTAAATCATATGACAGGACCCAACATTCATAGTGGGCCTATACATGAGAGAGCGTGTTGAGTGAAAAAATCTTATATTGAATATAAAATGAAGAAGTATGTGGGTTAAATACAAGGAAGGATAGTCTACTTATTCCCAATTAGTTTTAAGTTAGATGCAATCCCTATATTGAGCCTACATGTATAATTTTCACATTGTATCAAAGTTTAGGTACCGTCCTAGAAAACTTTTTGTTAGCCCACCTAAGAAGCCCTAAAATGAAAACCAAAATTGCATGTAAAGAGGCGTAGTAAACCATGTAAAGAGGTGTTGTATGTTAAGTGGAAAAATCCCACATCAAGTATATAATGAGGAGAGTTACTCCACTTATTACCAATTGATTTTAGCTTGGATGCAAGCTTTATATTGAGCCCACTTGCACAATAAATTTAACCCACTTACTTCTTTGTTATATATTTCATGCGAGATTTTTCCACTCAACGCACTTCCTCACAATGAATGGAATATTGCAGGTTAAATACACTCAACTTTCATTTTCGAACCAAATCCATTCTTAAGCTTGAAAAGTTACTAAAATTATCCTTAAACGTCAATTTGTGGAATCAATTTAGTCCTTCACATTTAAGTTGCCAAAAGATCTTTCCTCCAAATTGATATACTTCTCTAGAGCATGTAGATAACAAAATTTCATTAAACAAAGGAATCATATCATTGAAATTTCATTCCTCTGTTCTTTTCATGGTAAAATTCACAAAATCCACAACTTAGACTTGGGGATCAAAATCCACAAAATTTCATGCCATAGGCATCAAAGATCCACAACGTAGATCTTGGTATCAAATTGTACGAAATTTCACTTCACACGCATCAAAGATCTAAGTTGAAACCCAAATGTAGTCCCTAGAGACCTAACTCCTCCACCTAGCAAAATCCACAAATTTGGTGCCAAAAGTTTGAGATACTTTTAGTACCTTTTTAAAGTTCAAAGATAGATTTGGTTCAAAATGAAGGTTGAGAGATAAATCGGGTATTTAAACTTAACAACTTTATTCAAATAAATGAATAGGGGTGAGCAAATTTCAATTAGTTGACTAGAAATTGCAAAATTGCTCTAAATTGGGTGAGTTTTTCACTGATTTGTCAAGTTTAAGCCCCAAAAGAATGGTTCAAGCTTAAACCTGAAGTCTAGTTGGGTGGGCTTCGATTCTAAAACCCAAGCACTAGAAACCAGAGGACTAGACCTAATAAAACTAAAACCCACACGTCAATTTTGTTTAGTTCTAATTTTTAAAAATTTTTTACATTACCCATGCATTTTGGTTACCGTGTGTAACATCTTTTCCCCCTCTTCTGTCTTTTACATCATAGTATATTCGACTTTTTAAATTGAAATGTTATTGGTCCCACATATCATTAAATATTTGATTTATTTTTACAATTATGTTGATTTGATTCCGGCCATTAGATTTAACTAGTTTAGTTTACAACGTTAGATAAAAAATCCAAACCCCACTTCTTTTTTCTTCCTCACCTCACTTTCACCTCTTTATATTTCAATTCCCATTGTCTTCCCTCCTCCATACTTTCTTTTTGCCTTTTTCAATGATCTAAATTGAACTTATCACTTCATGGTATCTCTCCTTGAAATCTAATAGTTTTTATCCAAAAAAATTTTCACTTACTTCTTTCTTCTCATTGTTTATTTTCCTAGACCTAAAATGTAAAAAAGAGAAATCAAAGGAACCCATAAATAAGTCTTCCTTCTACATATCCAAGTACAAGAACTTTGGATCTTGTCTTGTGGACTAACTCCTAACTATAAGAGGACAACACATTGCCATCCATCACAATCTTCGTCTCCCATTGTTCTTCTCTATTTTTCTCATAAAAATCTATTTTGATCAAAATTGAAACCAAAATCAAGCAACCAAGATGTATCGGTCGCCAAACCAATACAACCAAAGCAAATTTGGTTCAGTAAATAGTTAGCTTTTTTCTTCAATTAAAAAGTTAGTTAATTGCTATTATTAGTCGATTCAGTCACCAAACTAACCGATGCCCACCCACCCCTACAAATGAAGGAGAGGCATTCCTTTCACTCTGTTCTCTTTCCCTTCTAACTCTTTCAATCCAAACTCACCTTAGGCTATGTTTAGTTGCCATGCATCTTGGAAAAACAATTTGGGGAAGTTGGTAAGAATCAAGCCATGCTTTGTTCCAAGAAAGAATAAATCTAGAATCAAAAGCCTATTTTTTAAGTATGAATTCTCAGTACAGGTTTGGCAAAATCTGTCAAGAATGACTGGTATTCCTTTTTTTGATTCATGCTCTAGTTTGTTAGTTTGGATGGGAAAGAGAATTACTAAGAGGTCCTGCATATTACTTTGATTAAGCTTGCATGGAATGCTACAGTATATCACTTGCAGATGGAAAGGAATCGTAGGATTCACCAGCAACTTTTCCACCTAGAATGTGTGATTGTCACTAACGTTATAGAATTTTAGGCTTTGCTAAGCCACGCTCTTCTCCCACATATAGCTTTACATTGGGGGTTAGAAAATTTTGTTAGGTAAAGTTCCTTCCTCTAGTTGATAGATGAATTATTTGCTTGTAGACTAGTTTATGATTGTTTTTATGTAGCAGCATGGCTGCTAGATTGTACTTTGAAGTATTATTGGATTAATGAATTTCACATTTCATCCAACAAAAAAAAATCTAGAATCAAAAGCATATAATCAATTATGTAAGATATAATTGATTATATGTCCTAAATTGTGTTTCCCAACAAAAAAAACAAGAAGAGAATTTTCCTAGATAAAGTAAACGATCACTTAAAAAAAAAAAGAATTGATTTTGTATAAATAATTAATTACGTCTAAAAATAATTGGTTATAAACCCTAAACGATTAGGTTACTTTAAAATCAATTACTCTTTTATATGAGTTTTTGTGCCATGAATAACAGAATCCTAGACCAAGCTAATTATCTTATAGGCTCGAGTCGACTTCCTTATATTGTTTTTCCAAGATCTATGATAAGTGATAACCAAACAGGCATTAAGCCCATGAATATAAAAGAAAGAAATGGGCCAAAAATCGGAGGTCCATTAACGGCCCAACGTTGTACCCAAGAAATGAAACCCTAGACAACCACTTTAAAAAGGAACCAGCGACCGCCCTACAGTTCCGGCTGCGGAGAGGCGCGGGGGAGAAGAAGATGCAGATTTTCGTGAAAACCTTAACTGGCAAAACCATAACTCTCGAGGTCGAGAGCAGCGACACCATCGACAATGTCAAAGCCAAGATCCAAGACAAGGAAGGTAATGCCCGTAACACGCTTCCTTGGAAGCTCTTTCCTTTATGGATTTTTCTTATGAAGCCGAAATGATAAACTCGTTTGTGTCCATTGGAATACCGCCGGATCAACAGCGTCTCATCTTCGCCGGCAAGCAGCTCGAAGATGGCCGGACTTTAGCTGACTACAATATCCAAAAAGGTCTAAATTTGTGCCTTTTGATTTGTGCTGTTTTCAATCTTGGCTCATGTTTTAAAATGGGGTTTCCTTCTTCTTCTTCCTTTTTTTTTTTTTTTATTTTTTTTTTATAGAGTCTACACTCCATCTGGTGTTGAGGCTGAGGGGAGGAATCATTGAGCCTTCTTTGATGGCTTTGGCTCGTAAGTACAATCAAGACAAGATGATTTGCCGCAAGTAAGTTTCTTGCTTTGAGCCTTTTGCTGTTAGGTATGGTCTGCTTCATCTTGTTGCATTTATATGTTGGTCCTTGTCGTGGAGGACCTGACTTAGCCTCTACTGCTGCTTGAATGGGATAGAGGTCATACATGGTCCTAAGAAAATTTTCCATTCTTTAACTCTATCAGCTGTGCTCATTTACTTTGACAGTTGATTTTCAAGAATGGTACACTAAAAGCCATGAGAAAGAATTGTTGTCTTTTCTGCATTTTCATAGGTTAAGAAATGATGTGTTTGGAGGCTGTCAAATGCAGTTAAATACTAGCTGGGTGAGAATTTGTTAGATTTTCATTTGTGCATGTTCTTCGATGGGACTACAAGTTGAACCCTCCTTTTCAGTAACGAGTGCAAGGGAGGGCATCTTAGTCCCAAAATTAAATTCCATTCAACTTTATCAGCTGGATACTTACTTGCAGTTGATTTTCTCAGAGTGGTACATGATATAACTAGATGGCTAGTAATTATAGTTTTGGTGTATTGGCATTCCCATATTTTTTATTCGTAATGCTAGTAATTTATCAACATTTTTACATTTTAGCATGTGTGTTGTTTTGGCCCAAGTTTTAGGAATATGATGTTATTCTTGTTTTTTGAAGCAATTCTTTCTACCATTTATTCACAAGAATTTTTGCATACATGTTGAATGATGCTTTGTTGGGTTATTAAGAATTACTAATGACCATTGGGAGATTGGGACTATTTACTTCATTTCCTTCAAATTTCTACTCTAGTCTCGAACCCATTTTGCTTTTTGGACAAGTATTGTATTTGCAATTTCATTTCTATAAAATCATAATAATAACATTGCAGAAGGAAATCTGTGATTTTGAGTCTTTTTGGTGATTGAATTGTATATATTTTCATGGTCAGGTGTTATGCTCGTCTGCATCCAAGGGCTGTGAACTGTAGAAAGAAGAAGTGTGGCCATAGCAACCAGGTATTTTCCCTTGCCTATTAGATATAATTTCCATCAGCTTTGTTTTCTTCAACATTAAGTGCCTCTTTACTTTCTTGCAGTTGAGGCCTAAGAAGAAGATCAAGTAGATTTTAACTGTTGCGCCTTGTGTACTATGGAATGAGACTGAAGATATGCTGCTTTTTTAAAAACAAGAAAAAAAACCTTTTTTCTTTTTTTGCTCTTGTTATTTCCCCTTTGTTTAATTGAAACATGTGAGATCTTGGGTTAGCAAGCTTCTATTTTATTGTGGTAAATTCATTTGAATTGAGCTTTATAAAATATAAAAATAAAAATATACTTGAAATCAAAGAAACGAGAGATGGAGGGAACAAGTTTTCTTTATTTAGATAAGAAAAATTTTGGGGTTAGGATATGTAAGAAACTTATTTTATATCTTTTGTAAGGTAGAGAAGGCCCTAGCCATTCTCTTCCCTCTTCATCATTTTCCTCGAAACCAGACCCTCAAGCTTCTAAACCTACGTCCCGTTTAGGCAATGAAACCGAGCAAATCCAGAGATTTGAGAGAGCAATGGTTTTTACGCAAAAGAAATGCGCTACGCTACTACCGTTCTACTCTTATTTGCGTTACAACTATGCTCGTACGTCAACACAAACGGTCAATGAGCTGCGCCAGCACAATTGAGCCCGGGAGCCATCCGAACTTAGGACTTGCTGTCCAATAATCCTGGACAATGAGTATAACACTAGGACAAGTGTGTCCTACATTGATCATGCATTCATT